CAGTCGACGGCGGGGGCCTCGGCGACCGGATCTCCGGACATGGAGACTAGCTCTGGGGACATGGAATGTCATGTCACCTCGCTGGGGGGAAGGAGCCTGAGCTTGTGCGGGAGGTTGAGCGTTACCGACTAGATATAGTCGGCCTCACCTCCACGCACAGTTTGGGCTCTGGAACCCAACTCCTTGAGAGGGGCTGGACTCTCCATTTCTCTGGCGTTGGCCGCGGGGAGCGGCGGCGGGCTGGTGTGGGCCTGCTCATTGCCCCACAGCTCAGCCGCTGTGTGTTGGAGTTCACCCCGGTGAACGAGAGGGTCGCGTCCCTGCGCCTTCGGGTCGGGGACAGGTCTCTCACCATGTATGTATTACATTCACAAATAAATTTTTCACTTTTGTAAAAATAATGTCTTAAAAATGTATTAATCTGGGGTAAAATCATCTGTTGCATTCTTGTGTAAACATACAGCCATATTTATAGTCTAAATGTGCTTCTGTTTCCATTTTGGCTCATTAGTCTGTTCAAAAAGACAAATCTGAGGACAAACTGACAGATGGGCAATTATAAACTAGGGCAGGAAAAACATCTCGGTCCCAATATCAGATCTATACCAATATCTAAGGAAACCCCTCATCTATAATTAAATAACTGAGGAAGCCATGCAGCACAGTTTAAAAATCATTGGAAAGTGTTGGTGTATTCCACAAAAGTAAACACATTCCCTTTAAAAGCATATCCTTACAGTCTTCAGAGGACTTGTTTGTGCTTTACAGCGGGAATCAGTCGAACATTTACTAATAATTTATTCATCACAGTGGCTGGGCATGACTACAGAATACAGCTGTAAAGAAATGGTGCCACTTTAATTGCATGGCCCCTGGGAGCCGGTTTCCACAGCAACCGCGAAGCAGAAGGAGGAGAGGAATTTGTTTGCAGTGTCCATGATAGAGGAGATGTACAATGACCTTATGCGGAAGATACTGGATAGAAATAAACCTGAAGCATTCTTATACAACAATGAGCTCTTGAACAAGTCTCTGTTTTTCAACCTCACCTACACTTTTGGCTCCTTAAGTCAGTGATGGGAAGATTACTTTGAAAATCTTTGTAGTTACAGAATAGTGAATACCCATATTAAAATGTTTTTGGTAACATATTTTGATTCATGGTCCAATCAGAGTACTGTATTTTGAATAATTAAAATACTTTTTTGAGTTGCTTTTAAATTATAGAGTAAAGATGCAACCCAAAAAACAGCTTCATGTTTACTGTTTGTTATTGTCATATTTTTTATGACTAATTAGTAGGGATGTAACGATATCCAAATCTCTCGGTACGATATTATCACGATATGCATCTCACAGTACGATATTTATTGCGATATTTTGGAGAGGTTAATATAATTGTAGATATGATTTATTGCAGATGATTGCAGACATTTTTTTGCTTTTAAAATACCTTGACAAGATTTTGGTGTGAATTATTTTCCTCATAATCCCAAAAATTCTAGTAAAACCATATCTTTTCATGTCTGCGCTGAAATGAATCATGGGATATGTAGTTCCCTTTGTTTATAAGCTGTTGCTACTCTAAAACAATACATTTAGCAAAGGAATTTGTAATTTGATATATTGTGACAGTCCATGATACTATTGTGAGACTTTTGATGATACAATATCACAATATTTTGGTTATTGTTTTTGTTTCATTCCTGCTAATTAGTGAAAGAAAAATCATACATGCACATGCTATAAGAGTAATTATAATATTTACCAGTACTAGAAAATAGATAAATTATGACTATATTATCCATTTCTGTAATTGGAAACTTATAGAGAACAAGGAGTTATCGTTCATGGTCACAGTTGTGCATGCACACTGTATACACTGTATATATTCAGGCCCTGATTTGTGCTATTGACAATAAAGTTCCTCAGATTGACATCATAATCAAAATTTAAAGGAAACACCAGCAAAACCCCCACTACCATTCACCTGTCAGTCAATTAAAGTCTTCACAAACTCATCCAATTTAAGCTTTGTGCCTCCAGCCACAGCATCAGCATCACTAGCCTTACCAGCCCCTCCATCTGCTCCTCTTACTGCCTCACTGTCTAATTACTAACAAAGCTATCAACTCTAACTGCATCGCTGACATTTGCACAAACATTGACCTATTTGTAGGTGTACTATGTAACCTTTTGGTTTGGGGTCCTTCACGTCCTTGTTTCTATGAATACGCCATAGCTCTGCCTGGAATGTTCCACAGTATGACATTAAACAGGTCTATCTTACATTTATTCAAATACAGGTGGTTTAATTGTCTAAAAATACCTAGAAAAACAGGCATTCGAACTGTGAGTGGGATTGCCCGACCACAGCTCTCACCTGTAGCTTGGTCTGGTTTGGTCCCCAGAAGACAGCTACACTTTTTACAATGTGTGTTTAAATATTATTACTCAAAGTTCTTAAAAGAGTTTCTGATTCCATTTAGATTAGAATAGATGTCACACTGGACAACAATTTTTTTATGTTTTTCAGTGTCAAGAAATTGGCCGTAGAGCATTTAACTTCAATGCCCCAAATGAATGGAACAACTTGCCCTCCTCTTTCCGATCAGTTATATCGGGGATCACCCAACTTTTTTCTCTGGGGGCCACATTATCGCTCCTGACTGTGATGGGGGGCTGGGGGCGGGGAGGCCATATAAAAGAATTGTATGACCCTGACAACACAATATATTCTTTGAAAACCGCTACACATTCTTTACATAACAGACAAACTGCACGGTCCTTACACTGAACAAAAAAATAATTTGTAGTCCACTGTTCTTTGAAAACTGCACTCTCTGTCAAGTTTTCCTACTTTAACACTCGCCATTTTGCTGTCCTTTACTGCACTACAGAACTTTGCGTGTGCCTTGACTGTCACTGTTATTTAAATATAAATACTTCATATAAGTATATTCTTTTAATTGAAAAACTCAACAAAATACAAGATGCAGATGTGTTATTATTTGCGAAAAAATAATAAAAAAAAATAGGCCATGACAACTTTTGAGGATTGCTTAATAGGGCCAGTTCAAGTGGTGGGGGGCCAGAGTCAGCCCGCAGGTCTTAGTTTGATGACCCCTGAGTCCACCTGTTTAAGGCATCAGTCTTCAGATTCTTACAAACATCCTGCTCCTGTTTTCCATAAAAATACTTTTTTGTTCTATGTACTTTCTGTTGTACACAGAGTTGCTTTTTTCTTCAATAATTTACAAATTAAGGTGTGAGGATGATAAAATCAGAGATGTCTATCTTAGGATCCTGTATGTATAGTGTGAATATTGTCTGTGTTGTGTGAATGTTGTCTTTGTGTTGTGTTTGTCTTTTGTTTTGTTTTGATTTGTTCTTTCTTTTCTGTAAATGCTATTTTTGTTAATGAATTTAAGACCCCCTCGCAAATGAGATGTTATATCTCAAGGGGCTTCCTTCATAAATAGATAGAAAAGATTTAATGCCATACTCTGAAACACTCCAAATAAAGTAATAGCATCTCCTTGGACAGACGCTCCACCAGAAAGGTTACACAATGCAGCTTTAATAAACCTTTCCACACTTTTGGTTGACTAGCATTGCATTCTTACAGTCCTCCCCATACTAGTGTCTCATATACAACGATACCAGTGCAGGAACAGACTCCAGTCCCTCTGTGATAGGTTTCCATGGTAATGTAGACTGGATGAGAATCATGCCGGGCGTTCGCTCAGTGCCCACTTGTGAGCTGTTTATGTTTTATCACTAGTTAACATCTGAAAATAGAAGCGCCTTTCACCAGTGCGTTGTGCCTGAGATGATCCACAGGTCTGAGTTATTGCTTCTGATTGCACACAGCTGGTGTTAAGAAAGCATGGCACAGCGGGAAGGTTCGCCAAAACGCTTCATGTTTATTTGATTGGAGGACTCTGAAAGATTCATATTGTTTATTTGCAAAGTTAGTTGGAAAAGTGACAGGTTGTAGAAAGACTTATGTGCTTTCAAGAGTCAATGAGACAGTTTCCATAACACTATAAAAATAATAGAGTTTTTCCTCATCTCCCTTTGCATTTTGTTAAAACAGAGTAAAACTAGTTAAAAAAAAAAAAAAAAAAAACGATATTCCTAATACATATTTTATCATTTCATTAGGCTTTTTGAAAAAACAAAAAACACTTCCCCAAAATCGACCTATTTTCAACACATTTCAAACTGCACAAATCCTTGTTTTGTAACCCATTGCAATTTCTTTTTTGTCGACTATGTGAAGCACCCTGGTCAGCTGAAACTGCTTTAAATGCACTATATAAATAAAGTTGAGTTTATAAATACAGTTGAATTATCCCATCACCAGTAACTATGTATCACCAGGTAATGCTCCACATAATAAACAGAAACAAATACAGCACAGAAGATAAGAGAAAAAGGAAGAAATATAGGGGACAGTGATTTTTTTTATTTACATATTACACAATTTTCTTATCTATGCTGTTTCCGTATCAAAACATACCTGCAGATGTGTTTTGTTTAATTTATTAATGTTTAACACAGAGGCCCTGCATATTTAAGCTGTGCTGTTCTCTCAAACGAAAAACACTCTTTTCCACCTTGTGATGTCATGTGGTAATACAGGAAGTGCTCCACTGTGTTTTTATACTCCATACAACTTCACTAGAATCATTTGTAATCATTTTCAGCCCTAGAATTGTCCATTTCTTCTGAACTAAAGATAACAGGTAGCTGTTAACTTGGAAACTACAACTGCATGACATCACTGTGTGGAACAGAGCATTTTGAGCTTTGGAGATGTAGACTAATAATAAAGAGTTACTCATACATGTGTGAATGAAATAAAGCACAACTCCAGGTTTGTTTTTGAAGAGGCTACATGGCTTTAAGCTCACTAATTTTCTAATTTACTTAATATAGAACTTTTGTAGAACTTAGACCTTACAATCTCACCAATCTCCTTTCTGTCTTTACAGGTCAAGCAACCAAAAAGACATATGTGAGCTACAATAACCTCAGGATCTGACCTGCTCCAATGACAATGGGAGGAGGAGTGTTGGTGATGTCTCATTTTAGGCACCTCTGCTCCACACTGCTCCACACTGGGCTGGACTACAGACTCATGTGGTTTTGGATCTAACAGTTTCAACTTGTGGACCAGACGCAGACCCTCTGACCTTCCCCAGGGGCACTCTCATGGCTGCAAAAAAGAGACAGCAAATCAACTCCAAATTATGATTTTCTTTATTTAAAACATCATTATTGAAGCCATATTATCTTGGGGCCCCCATCCTCCTCTTTTGTTTGTAAATGTGTGCTTTATTCTGTGCCTCATTTAACAGCATCTTCTGCCACATAATGACAGTTTATTTTTTTCTTTTACAAATCAATCTCCAAATTGTCGATTACTTTTAAAGGACAAGTATTATATATTTTTTGTAAATATTTGAGAGTATTTTCATGTTTGGAGTACAAAAATATCCAGCTATTGTTAGGCTGGATTTGGATGGTCAATGACAGCACCACAAAGTGTTCACTTTGCATGTGCCAATGTATGTCTGTTCTACTCGATGTTACAAAAAATGGAGAAATAAAATCTGAGATGATCTTGAGCTTCAGTATCCCTCCGCAGTTCCTTTACAAGAATCACAACCCTAATTCAGAGAAAATATGGGAACATTGTGAAAAATTGCACCATACTTCAAAGAAATTGGTAAAAAGATAATGATTTTTATAAAACTTGAAGATCATGTTCTTCTTAAAGTTTCCTGAATTGTGGTTGTAGAAAATGACTGAATACGGCTTTAAACCATGTGTTCCAACTGAGTCCTTGTATCTGCAGCATGTTTGTTTTTATAGTTTGGTACTGGGTATAATAATATGCCTCCTAATTATGGTGTTGGACGAGTTCATATCAGAGCAATCATGCAAGTTTGTTGTGATGTCTGTCAAATGATGAACATGTAATAAAATCATTTTGTTATCTTTTATACAACCAGCGCAGGCAGCACATCATTATTACTGTGTGTCTATGTGCGAAAGTGTGTCTATGTGCGAAGGGGTGTGTGTGTGTGTGTGTGTGTGTGTGTGTCAATGAGTGAGTGGGCTGTCCCTATCTGTGTTTCATCAGGTTTTATCTCTGTGATCAACGATAGTGGTTCTCAAACTGTGGGGTGGGTACAGTTCTGGTATAATAATAAAAATGGAGGTCCTGCACAGTCATTAAAGAGCCTGTATTATGCTATTTTCTGATCTACGTTGCTATGTTGTTTCCTCATCACAAACATACCTGAGTTCTCAAACAGAAAACACCCTGCTCCACCTTGTGATGTCATGGGGTAATACAAGAAGTGCTCCGCTGTGGTTTTTCAGCTCTATACCCCATCACTATAAACATTTGGATGATTTCAGCCCTACAATCTCCGATCTCTACTGAGCAAAAGGTAAAAGGCAGCATGAACACTACTGCTTGATAAGGGGTGAGCAAAAATATTGAAATAACTATATACTGTATTGTTTCATGATACAGTATTGATATCGTGGGCTTTTACTAAATAATTTTGTGTAAGAGCTATAATTGTGTTGACATTTTCACTGTTTCGATAAGTAAAATGGGTGATTTTCATATTAACTTTGCACAAACTTAGTGGCTTTAGCAGACTTTTAGTATCACAGCCATGATTCAGCCTTTTTTCAATGAACCGTATGGAATCGATTTGAAATATATCATATCTAATCATATTGAATCAAAAGTGCACTGTATCGAAAAACGTATCGTATCAAGGTATGTATCGTATCAGCAAGTTCTTAATGATACCCAGCCTCACACTTAATGACATCGCAAGGTGGAACAGAGCATTTTGGGCTTTGGAGCTGTAACCAGCTTCGTAAGGGAGGATTACTCAAACACTTATGAAAAAAAATATAACTTCACGTATGTTTTTGATGAGATAAGAACATTCTAACATGACCTAAAGATCACAGGAGTCAATTTTGTGCAATATTGGACCTTTAAGCCAGGGCTCAGGCAAATTTAGTTTTAGTTCATAACAAGTTTAGTTCAGGCTTTGTATTTGTGCAGTCAAAGTTACTGACAGTTTTAGTTCTGGCTTGTCACTGGTCATGTTAAAGGTGTACATGTAACTTTTCTGATGAAGGGTTAGCCATTGGTTTGTCTCCACGGAGATGTTATTGCTTTGCCATGAATGTTCCTTAGTATGGCAATAAACTTAACCCTCTTTGCAATTATTCGGTTAGAGGTGTTTTTATTTCTCCAAAATACCGTAAAATCATGCATTCTTACTGTGAACTCTCCTTTCCACAGACCTGGCCTTTCACTTGGCCTGGTAGTGTCACCTGCTCATCATCACGGAGATAGAAAGGTTTTCCCTTTTACCCTTTCATCCAGTATCCCTTCCAGGTGAACACTAACATCTCCATGCAGATGACAGACTCTTCGCCAGAAAAGTTACAAGGTGTACCTCATTTATTTAATTTTATTATTGTTTTTATTTTTATGTTTTATTTTTATAAAAAAATGTTATTGTTATTTATTTTTATTATATATTATATATATATATATATATATATATATATATATATATATATATATATATATATATATATATATATATATATATATATATATAGTTTTATTTTATTTTTTATTATAATTTATATATTTTTTTTTTATTCTTTGCTTTTCCCATCTAGGTTCCACTGTAGTCCCATCACAAACCTGGATTAGCCCTATAATGAAAAGATTTATTGTCCATGGGTCTATGGGGGAGGGGTGAACTATGTCTCCTGCTCGTGACAGGCCACATTATGAGGCTCAGTGCGTGGAGCTCTCATGCATACGAGTCCGGACCCCCTGAGACCACCACATGCTCACTACCCACTGCTGCCTTCACCCTCTCTGCTCCACTGGACTTTTCTCTTGAGCTGAGTTTAATATACTTGTTACAACATAATTACTGCCATACATCTGTAAATGACTTTTTTAAAGCCGAAAATTATATTATTTTTTCTTCTATTTTATTTTACAGTGACATAGGGATACCTCTAATGGTGCTAACTTCTTTGCCAATTCATAAAGTACAGAGCTTTAATGACCACCATAGAATAAGCATTAAGGTAAGCAAGAAAAAAGCCCATGCTATCCATTATGTAGTTGTAGACGATAATACCATGGTATAAAACAAGGTATTAGTGGCAATAAAAACTATATATTGAATAATAAAAACTTCCACAACAATTTCCGGTGTAATGTACAGCACAGCTAAAACAGCACAGCTCCTCACAGCTTCTTACAGAAAATGACGGACGTAAGCTTTCTGAAAAACTCTGATTTTCAATTTGTGAAAGAACAAGTCCTGATGCGTGTGCGTGCCTGTGAGCGTAATGTAGCTATTTCTGCCATTGATTATTGCGTAAGAAACAATGAGAAATAATGACAGCATGCTTGAGGGAGCAGAGGCCGTCCTCCTGTGTGACATGTACAGGACTCGATTAAATTCAGAGGCGTACACATTTTTTTACTCAAGTGTCATTGTAAACAAAAGTAGTATTTGTATTGTAAGAAAAAAAAAAACACATGGGACACACTGTTCTAGATAAATGAGTGGTCTTTTGTCTTGAGTGTAAGTCTGCATAATAACAATCAAGTTCAAATCTAGCCAAGTCAAGATAAATTAAGAAAGGTTTTTCATGATTTGAGTAGTAAGAACAGTCATCTACGAATGGAATAAGACTTTTTGCTACACTTAAGAGAAGGAAAACAACAACTCTTTGCACTTAAAATAAAAAACAAAATCTAATATTGCTTGAATTAAGAAAAACACACTTATTCTATTGGTCAATCATTTTACTTTTCAATTTGAATCTACTCAAATAAAGTTAAATGTTCTTAATTCAAGTCATTTTGACTTAGATACTGAACCTACATACTGCTTTTTGCACTGTTCATCCTGTCTTCAGTTTGACAGTGTTAACATGTCAATGCCAGGGTCATCTGTGCTGGAGTTCATATTTCTACTCTCTTCCTGAACTGTTTCAACACTCGATTTTTCTCATTGTGGCACAGATAAAGGTTATTTTATCTTATATCAGAGAGGCCATCTATATCCATGGGCAACGTTCAAGGAGCATCCATTGAGATGACGGAGCTTATATATAACATTTAAAGGGATGATTCAGAATCATTTCAACCTAGGATCCTTTGCACCATGACCTCTACATTACATCTTTCATCAGTTGCTGCTTGGTAACAGGTTGGGTGTGACAACCAGACTGGGAGAAATGGGGATAAATTCTGATGCCAATTGTTTTGATAAAGGAAATGTGGGCATGCAGGGCCTAATTTTAGAGAGAAAAAAAACCCAAAAGTACAAATAAGGGAACATGGGGCTGAGGGAACTTGGGCCCGATCCCCACAAAACCATCATATGAAGCTCCTGAAGAAGGATACAGGAAGTAGTCGAGACAAACTGATGGCTTGATTTGATTTTCAACAAAAATGTGAGAGTAATAAACTGAAAAACTGTCTAAGACTACAGCTACCTTACCTTGTAACTATAATATTATTTGATATGGACTTGTTTAATAGTACAACTCATCTCACCTGATGTAATTCCAACTAAGTCAGAAAAAATAAAGCTCAGGTTTAACAAACCTCAAATAGAGAGGTGCCTACAGTTAGCATCCCCAGTGCATTCCTTCATAAAGCTAACTTGTACTGGCCTTATAGTGACTGTTGTGTTTTGTGTGTTGTGTGTAGGGTTTGAGTCCATTCAGTCGCTTATTATTCTATCTGACCTGAAGACACTGACTCGTGTGTTTGTGCTGTGCGTGAAATCCTCCATTTGACCAGGTTTTCGGTCGCTTCTCTATCCATTCGTCTGGCTCTGGCTCAGCTCCTCAGGGACCAGCTGGGCTTTACTCTCGTACACACAGTCTGTCATCTTCTGTTGCTTCACAGCCAAGAAAATCCAACTTATTCCCAATTAAAACCAACTCCTCTTCCTCAACTTAATTAATGGTCTATGTCAGTGATTGTGTGCAAGTAATCAGAGAGGGGAGAACTGCAGCTCAGCAAAAAGTGAACAAATGCCTCAGTAATACCATTTTGGATGGATGTAAAGAGACATTTCTGAGCCTTTCTGTGCACTGCAATACAAATTTCAGCAAAACTGGAACCAAAAGAGTTATTTGTCTTGGGTTGCAAGATGCCAGTGTAATCACATAATAATGTCTTGTATAAGAATTCATCTCTAAAAAATATGCAGCTTCATTAAAGATATGAATCTATGGGAACACTGTGATA